CACTATCACCATGAATGAATCACTGTATTGTACACCTGAAATTAACATGATGTGTCTACTATACTCAAAAAAACCACATTAATTTCTTGACATAAATTAAAATTTGGATAACCAGAGAAACAAAATAACTAGGAATAAACTTAACCAATGAGCTCAGAGGTCTATATATTAAAAATTATAAAACATTAATGAAAGAAATTGAAGATGACACAAATAAATGGAAAGGTATTCCATGCTCATGGATTGGAAGAATTGTTAAAATATCCATACTACCCAGAGCAATATATTCAGTACAATCCCTATCAAAATTCCAATGGTATTTTTCACAGAAATACAACATACAATCCTAAAATTTGTCTGGAACTACAAAAGACCCAAATAGCCAAAACAGTCTTGAGAAAGAACAACATAGCAATATGCTCCCTAATTTCAAAGTACATTACAAATTTATAGTAAACAGTATTGCCATAAAACAGATACATGTATCAATGGAACAGAATAGAGATCCCAGAAATAAACTCATACATCTATAGTCAGTTTATGACAAAAGAGCCAAGAATATACAATGGGGAAAGGACAGTCTCTTCAATAAATGATAAAACTGGATAGCCACGTGCAAAAGAATGAAATTGGACCACTGTCTTACACTGTGCACAGAGTTTAACTCAAAATGGATTAAAGTCTTTTTTTTAAGAAATTTTTTTAATATTTATTCATTTTTTGAGAGACAGAGAGAGTGTGTGTGAGCAGGGGAGGGGCAGAGAGAGAGGGAGACACAGAATTCGAAGCAGGCTCCAGGCTCTGAACTGACAGCATAAAGCCCGACATGGGGCTCGAACTCACAAACCGCGAGATCATGACCTGAGCCAAAGTCGGACGCCCAACTGACTGAGCCACCCAGGTGCCCCTAAATGGATTAAAGTCTTAAATGTGAGACCTGAAACTGTAAAACTCCTAGAGGAAAAGATAGGCACTAAGCTCCTTAACATTGGAGTTTGCGATAATTTTTGGAATCTTGATACCAAAAGCAAAAACAAGAAAAGCAAAAGTAAACAAGTAGGGCTACACCAAAACTGAAAAGCTTCTGCACAGCAAAGGAAACCATCAACAAGATGAAAAGGCAATGTACTGAATGAGAGAATGTTTGCAAATCATATATCTGATAAGGAGCTAATATCCAAAATATACAACAGACTCCTACAACTCAATAGCAAAAACACAATCTGATTAAAATATGGACAGAAGATCTGAATAGACATTTTTCCCAAACAACACTACAGATGGCTAACAGGCACATGGAAAGATGTTCAACATTACTAATCATCAGGGAAATGCAAATCAGAACCACAGTGAGATACCACCTCACACCTGTGAGAACAACTAGTATCAGAAAGACAAGAAATATGAAGTGTCGGTGAGAATGTAGAGAAAAGGGAGCCCTTGTGCACTGTTGGTGGAAATGAAAATTGGTATAGCCATTGTGGGAAACAGTATGGAAATTTTTCAAAAAATTAAAAATAGAATTACCGTATGATACAGTAATTTCACCTCTGGATATCCAAAGAAAATGAAAACACTAAGTAGAAGTGTATACGCCCCATGTTCGTTGCAGCTTATTTACAGTAGCCAAAACATGGAAACAACCTAAATGTCCATCAACGGATGAAGAAATTGTAATACACACACACACACACACACACACACACACACAGAAATATTATTGAGCCGTATAAAAGAATGAAATCTTGACATTTGTGACAACATGGATGGACCTTGAAGTGAAAAACGAAAGACAAATACCATAATGATCTCTTTTCTTTGTGGAATCTAAAACACAACAAAACAAACCAAGCTCATGGATACAGAGAACAGATTGGTGATTTCAAGAGGCAGGTGGTTGGGGGTGGAAGAAATGGGTGAACTGTTTGTTTGTTTTTCATTTTTGTTTTTCTTTTTTTTTTTTTTAGTTTAAGTAAGTTGAATAAGTTTTTTTTAATCAGAGATATGGGAGCGTATTCTTTTAGGCTGTCCCATCTAGGTGTTTTGACCGAAGATGTTAAATTTTTAATAGTGAAAAAAATACATGTATATATTGGTTTTTATTAAATGTCTGATTGCTTCTTTATAGCAGTCTTTATAAGTGGGCAAAAAATGTGGTTATTTGATATTGATGGAACTCTAGCAAGGCTGCAATTTTTCAGTTTAAGTCTTTCCTCATGACACATGTTTATTGACTTAAGTGCCTGAGTGTATTCTCTCATGTTAGCTGAAGTCTGCAACTTTTTTCCATTGGAAGACATATATAGTTGTGGCTATTAGCTGAATGTCTTCCCCAACCTAAAGTGATGTGAACATCTGTATTTTGGTATGAAAATGTTTTTAACATGTTTTTAAAAGTAAAAAAATGTGTTGGCTAACCTGTACTACTAATGACGACATGTAGGCACTTAGTGTTGGTCCGAAAGCTCTTTATAGTATATGTGCTCGATCTAGTCTTAAAAAGTCATTTGAATTAAAAGGGCAGCTCAAGGGATTTACTTTGCAGGGACAGAATAGTTCTGTGTCTAGATTATGGTGGTGGTTATAGGAATCAATACATGTGATGTCGTAGAATTATGTATGGACACACATATACACACACCAGAAAATGGGTGTAAAAATTGGTGAAATCAAAGTAGGGTCTGAAGTCTAGTTAAGGTATTATATCAATGTCAGTTTCCTGGTTTTTGGTTTTTTTTTTTTACTGTTATTCAGTTATGTAAGATGTCACAGGGGATCTTTCGACTATTTTTTTTTCATCCTTTCTGCTATTTCTGAAACTACTAGTGAGTCCATAACTGTTTAAAATAAAAATTAAAGTTTAGAAAAGTTAGGGTGCCTGGGTGGTTCAGTCAGTTGAGCATCATCAGACTCTTGATTTTGGCTTAGGTCATGATCTCACAGTTCATGGGGTCAAGCCCGATGTCAGTGTGGAGCATGCTTGGGATACTCCCCACCCCCCTTTCTTTTTGTCCCTTCCCTGCTTTTGTGCACATTCTCTTCTCTCTCACTCAAATAAATAAACATTTAAAAAAATAAAGTTTAGAAAAATCAGTTTAAAAAAATAAGATGGCAGCCAGGAAAATATTCGTCTTGATATTTGTGATTCTAATAGAACATTAATAGAAACAAATATTTAGAAATGTTTGGTGCACCCTAGAGGGTAAAGTCTGTTAACTCATTGTGGTTAAAAAGTGAGCCAAAGAGTCCAGATCAATTACTGTTTCAGGTTGAATGCTGGCATCTTAAAAGTCAGAAGGCTGCTATTGTACCAAGCTTTGAAACCAGCCAGAACAGTCCTTGTCACCTAAAATGAAAGAAACTTATGCCATAGCATAAAAAATTGTTTACAGTAGTCAATGGAATGGCAAATTTTTGTTTTTTTTAAAGAGTTAAAAAAATTTTAAGTTTGGTGTATGACTATAAGTGGAAGCATGAAGCATTTGGAATTGTAGAATTTATTACGGAATGAGTGTAATTTTGCCTTAACTAAGTCTTGTTAAGTTCACCAGTGAGTGAGTCCAGATAGTGAGAAAATCCTGATTATGTGACTATCCTTTAATGTATTAACTAGGAAGATTGCTCTATTCTTTTCCCACCACTCTCCCCTCTTTCTTTTCTGTTTATATTTCCACCTGAAAAAGGTTGTGTCTTTATTTTTCTCTAGACACCTGAAACAATTCAGACTTAGCAGGATGTGATTCAGAAACTGTAGTAAGTCTTGAGAGTTAGCTCCCTGTCTCCTTGTTTGTAAGAAGTAGCAAGAAGTTCTTTGCTTTCGACATGTCAAAAAAGAAAAATCAATATTACAATCAAATTAAGCAATAGTGAGGAAAAAAAAATTGGCCTCCAGTAAGACAAATCCAGAAAAAAAGGGAATTCACAAATAAATGATATTGGAATGAAAAAGCTGTAGATAGAGCAGAGATTAAATCATATGAGAATACTGTGAAAAATTTTATGGCGGGGAGCCTGGGTGGCTCAGTCAGTTGAGCATCCGACTTTGGCTCAGGTTATGATCTCGCAGTTACTGAGTCCAAGCCCCACATCAGACTCTGTGCTGATAGCTTAGAACCTGGAGCCTGCTTGGAATTCTGTGTCTCCCTCTCTCTCTCTCTGCCCCTCCCCTATTCATGCTCTCTCTTTTCCTCAAAAAAATAAATAAATATTTTTATGGCAATAAATTTGATAAATTATGCCCCAGTTGACAAACTTCTAGAAAATGTACAATGACTTAAAAAGAAATAGATAACTCGAATATTTCTATATGTTTAAAAGAAAGCGAATGAGTAATTAAAAATTTTCCCCAAAGGAAAAACACCAGGATCAGATGATTTTACAGATAAGTTTGCCAGGGTTTGAAGGAAGAGATCATTTCCTGAAAAGAAAGAGAGGGAACATTTCCCAGCTGATTCCAAGAGCAAGTATTACTTGAAACTGAACAATGCTATATGAGATGAGCCCATCACCAGTGTCACTTATGAACACAAATGCAAAAATTCCAAACTGTAAATTTGAAAAGTAACAGAACAAATAATGTGAACAAGTAACAAACAACTTTTAGTGTCAGTGTTGGGAACTGTGGGTTCGTGTCCACTAAATTTCATACGGATGAAGCCCTAATCCTTGATGAGATGGTGTTATGAATGGACCCTTGGGAAATAATTAGGTCATGAGGGTGGAGCTTCCATGATGAGATTAGTATCCTTACAAGAAGAGGAAGAGACTGGGGGTACCTGGGTGGCTCCGTTGGTTAAGCATCTGACTTTGGTTCGGGTCACGATCTCAAAATGGGTTTGAGCCCCGCAATGGGCTCTGTGCTTGCCTTGCAGAGCCTGCTTGAGATTCTCTCTCTCTCCTTTTCTTTCTCTGCCTTTCCCCCACTTTCTCTCTCAAAATAAATAAGCTTAGAAAAAAAGAAGAGGAAGAGACTGGAGCTCACACTGTGTCTCTCTACGTGCATGCGCCAAGGTAGGCGAAGCGACGACCTAACCAAGAAGAGGGGGAATAGGGCCCTCAGCAAGAACCCAAATGTGCTGGCACTCTGATCTCTGTGAGAAATGTTTATTGTTTCAGCCCCTCAGTCTGTAGTACTTTTGTTAGAGCAACTTTAACTCACCGAGACCATCAAGGAAGCAATCTGATGAATTTTCTTACTAGGTTTAACAATTTGTAATAGTATTCTTCCTTTCCTATTAATTAATCTCAGCAATGCTGAACTGGACCTCAAGACTGAAAATTGACATCTTTGTCTTCTTCCTGATTTTAAAGGAAACGTCTGAGTGTATCACCATTGAGAATGTTGTTCATTGTGGGTTTTTTAGATGGATTCATGATCAGATTAGTGGGGTTCTTTCTGTTCCTGGTTTGCTTATTTTGGAAGAGACTTAGGAGACAGAACAACCAAGTGTAATGAGTGGACCCTGTTTGTCTCCTGATTCCAATGAACCAAATGCAGCAACATTGTTTTTTGAGGTGTTTGAGGAAATTTGATTAGGGATTGGATATTAGAAAACAGTAATGGGGGCACCTGGCCGGTTCAGTCAGTTGAGCGTCAGACTCTTGATTTCAGCTCAGGTCATAATCTCACAGTTCATGACATGGAGCCCTAATAGTGCAGAGCCTGCTTGGTATTCTCTCTCTCCGTCGCTGTCTTCGCCTCCTTTGCTGGCACTCTTTCTCAAATAAATAAACTTAAAAAAAAAAATGAATTATTTAACTTAGCTGTGATCATGCATTGTGATTATGTAAGAAAAATGCCCATTTTGAGTTTTTTTGTGGTAAAATACTCATAACATTTACCGCTTCCACCATTTTTAATTGTACAAGTTCACCACCATCCGTCTCCAGAACATTATCATCTTCCCAAGCTGAAACTCTGTCCCCACTGAACACTCACTCCCCATTCCCCTCTCCAGCCCCTGGAAACCACCATTCTTACATTCCGTCTCTACGAATTTGACACGCATGTAAGTGCGTATATTTGTCTTTTTGTGACTGGCTTATTTCACTTCACATAACGTCCCCAAGGTTTATCCATGTCGTAGCCTATGTCAGAGTTTCCTTCCTTTTTAAAGCTGAACAATATTCCTCTGTCTGTCTCTGCCACATTGTTTATCCTTTCATTCATCAGTGGACCCTTGGGTTGCTTGTACCTTTTGGCTACTGTGAATCTTGCTAGGAACATGGGTGTGCAGATATCTGTTGAAGTTCCTGTTTTCAATTCTTGTGGATACCTGTCTGTACTTAAAAGTGGGATTGCTGGATCATATGGTGATTCGGTGTGTGTTTGAGGACTTGCCAAACTGTTTCCCATAGCAGCTGCCCCATCTTAGGTCACCACCAGCAAAGCGCAAGGGTTCTAACTTTCTCCACATCCTTGCCAGCGCTTGTTAAGAAAACGTCCGTGTTTTCAGTGGATTTGTACGAGGTAGAACTGAAGAAGAAGAATTATTAGTCACCCATCGCCTCCAGAGCAGCCAGGCCACACCCATGGGACTTCACCTCCCCACCAGCTGACAGGCAATATGGCCATCTGCTTGGGCTGCCTTCACTCTTAGCTGTGACCGTGCCTGGATTTTCCATGTGTGCCTAGAAAGTTTCCATTATGTCTCTGACAGACTTTAAGGGAAAAAAGAAAAAACACTGATTTAGTGATACATATGTAGTGAAACTGTTAGTTCTTAAAAGGCAAGACAGGGTGCCTGGTGGCATGCCCATGGTCGGTTCGGTACTTCAGCCAGGTCGCATCTGCGTCAGTGAGTTCGAGCCCAGCGTCGGGCTGATGGCTCAGAAGCCTGAGCCTGTCGATTCTGTGTCTCCCTCTCTCTCTGCCCTTGCCGTTCATGCTCTGTCTCTCTCTGTCCCAAAAATAAATAAACGTTGGAAAAAAATAAAAAAAAAAAAAAAAGGCAAGACAGTGCTGGGCACTATTCATGATTCTAGATACTTTTTGGGCAGGTGCCGGGGATGCCACCAGGGAGGAATAACACAGTATTTGTCATATTCCAGTTGGGTGCTGGTTTCCTCAGTGCTTTGTTAGGATGCTTCATTACCTTCGTAAGTTGCATATATCCTTTTGTATATATAGTATTACATAACTTACATTTTGAATCCTCAACTAGGAACTTCTATTCCTTTGGGCTATGGTTCCTGCATGTTGGGCAAAGGTCCGGTGCTGGTCTGATATTTCACCTGGTATATGGGATTGTATATGATCTCCAACTATGTCCTTTCTATTTTATTTGGTGTTAAAAGAACCTTTAGAAATGATCATCGAATTAAAAGGATGCAGTTTGTTGTTTTGTTTGTTCTACTGCTTTCAAAGATGGCAAACGGAAAAAGTAAATGAACTTGCAAAAGGTCGTTACTGTTAAAAAGTTTTTACTGGTCTGTGAAATAAAAAAATTCTAGGAATTACCACCTCAGAGAACACAGAACTGTATTCATTAGCCAAACACCAAGACTGATGATACTCAATGTAGTGATTTGACTTACTGCCCTTTACACAGAATGCATCTCTCCAAATTAAAAAGGTAATTTAGAGGAACCATTGATTGGCCTTATCTAAAGACTCCGAAGTAAATTTTAATTACTCAGCAAAGACATACTCCATCAGTAGAGCTAGATTCTCAAGCATCAGCTAATGATCATCACAACTAATATTTATTAAGTACTTACTCTACCACTGACTCTTTTGTATAGATTATCTCACTTAATCTTCAGAAATGCTATGATTCTCACTTAACTGATAACAAATTTTGGCTAATATCTTGCTCGGCATCACACAGATCAGGAAAAGGGGAGCTGGAATTCAAAACCAGTTTGGCAGAATGACCCTTCATCAACGCTTTTAGATACTACTCAACCATGTAGCGTGTTTGGCACCACCATTGAGATGCCAAAAGGCTAGGAGTTACAAAATAGCCTTGAGTGCTGAGTTCAGAACTCAGCCCTCTCCCTTTCATTACCTCTCATATTTCTTGAGTTGTCTGATATTTCAGGAGTCCAGAATCATAGAGCTTGAAGGGGGAACGCTAAGCTTGCTGGAAACATTACAGTATTACCACTGTGGTCTTCAAATGCACGTGTGAGCAGTGACATAACTGCATTTATTTCTTGTATCCCTATGAGACATTAGTGCACACACTATGTAAATTCAGTTGTAGGCAAAAGACTGGGGGAGAGAGGCGTTCCAGGCAAACTCCTAATGACTCGTGGCTGAAGTATCGTGGGGAGAGGAAAGAAGGTGGTACAACTTCCAGCCAAGAGGCTTCAAGAGAGGTTTGGAAGACAGTGGAGTAAAGGGGTTGAGTCAGAGGGCTGAAAATGAGGTGGGGGCAATCAGATCCCTGAATCTCCTCAAAGAAGGAATAAAGGAAAGGTAAAAGAAAGTTCAAAGTGCTTCAAGGTAATGTGGGGTCAGTAGAGAACTGGGAAAATGCATATAATAAGGCAATGAGCTCTAATTCGTGTTGTAATAAGGCGAAGGCTTTGAACGATGCTCCTGTCTTCTCATTTTTATTTTTTTAGTTTTAGAGGGTGAGTGAGCAAGCACACTCAAGTGGGGGAGAGGGAGGGAGGAAGAGAGATGGGGACAGAGAGAGAGGGAGGGAACCTTAAGCAGGCTCTATGATCAGCATGGGGCCAGATGAGAGGCTCCATCTCATGACTCCGGGATCACGACCTGAGTCGAAATCAAGAGTCAGACGTTCAACTGACTGAGCCACCCAGGTACCCCCTAGTTTCTCATTTTTAGATTCTTTAACTCTTCACATTTGTCTGTGAGCATTTGCCAGGATTCCTCCTCAGTCATACATACTGCTTCCCAGCACTTTGAAATCCTTAATAATTGCATGTGATTTCTCCCAGACTTCCCATCTCTTTCTTATCCTCTCCTGTCCTCCCTAGTACTCTTTGTGTTCATTACCGATTACTGTGTAACAAACCACCCGAGATCACAGTGGCTTAAAACAATGTGTTGCTACTTCCCACAGTCTTGTGAAATGACCAGGTTCAACTGGGTGATTCTTGCTCAAGGTCTCTCATGCAGGTGTAGACAGATGCTGGTTGGGGTTGGAGTCCTCCAAAGTCTCCCCTGGATTGGGCATCTAAGATAGCATCTTTATAACATGTGTGGTGCCTCAGCTGAGGTGGTCAGAGACTGACTGGACTCTTCCCTCTCTCCCTCCATCTGTCTCTTCATGTACCAGACAGTCTCTCTACATGGTTAGCTTGGGCTTCCTCATAGCATAGAGGGTCAGAGTACTTGGACCTCTTACATGGTAACCATCTTTCCCCCAGATAAGCATTCCAAGAAGTCTAAGTGGAAGGAAGTTCAAAGCTTGGAAGTCACTCAGAAGCACTGTTGCTGAATGAAATGGGTACAGAGAAGGTCACGGAGCCTACCCCAAGGGAGGGGGACCACCCAGTAGTCTGAATACACAGAACTGTGGTTTATTGGGGGTGATATACTTGTCTAGAACTAGAGACCACATTCCTGATTTATTGAAGTTTCTGTTTACTTCTTATAACTGAAATATCTTGTTACTATCTTATATCTTGTATCACATCCATTATTCTTTCTAACTATTGTTTATACTAATAGTGATTGAAAGACTTCTTTGAGGAATTCGTATGCATTCTTTCAAATGAATCTTAACAATATATTTTTATTTATTGATATTAAAATTTAAGCAACCCAAAGGCCCTATCGAAAAGCTATGTGACTGGTTTTTTGTTTTGTTTTGTTTTGTTTTTAAGAAAGTCTGTTTGGGAAATCAGATTTGATTCACTTTTTAACCACCAATGATAACATATCACACTTAAAAGGCAGATCAGTTTTAGGGAAAAGTGATATACCCTCATGTATGGGTGTCCTTAGGTGAACTCACCAACAAGATTGCTTTTCATGCTTAGCCACTAAATTAGAAAACCTGTTCTCTTGTTGGGACTGAACCGTGGTTTACTTTGTGGTTAGATCTTGGTTTTGTTTTTTTTTTCTTTTTTCTTTTTTTTAACTATCAAAGTCTTACACAAGTCCAAGCTTATTTTTTATACCACCCCCCAAATGAAGAGATAACTTGAATCTAAAAGATTTTAGCATACTCACATGGCAGTTACAGAAATTCTTTATTTAAAATCTCCTACCTATACATGGCTTAACTTTGCCTTAGCTTCCTCCGCAAATGCCATTGAGGTCTTAGGTTCTTATAAAGAGTTATTGCTGTTTTTGTTTTGTTTTGTTTAAAGAAGCTAAATCTCCAACACATGTGGGAGAAAATGGGCAGTTGGAGGTGGCAAATAATTTGTTGTTGTTTTTTTTTTTTCCTACCCACAGCCCTGGGAAAACTCTGCCATAAAGGATTAATTTACTCATGAGATTTCACTGCGGTTGCCATTAAGAAAAAAAAAACCAATAGGAATAGTAGGGCAGAAGCGTTTCCAAACCCTGGAGAAAAGAGTCAAGGATTTATGGTGGGAAGCAGAGCAGTCCCTTTTTTTTTTTTAATTTTTACATTTATGAGTTAAGCATCTGAGGTTGATACCATTTCTCTCACACAGGACTTTATATAGACAACTGGAAGCTGACTCTGAAAAATGATAATCAGCGGTTGTAGTTTTCCATAATTTATCTTCATGCAGGGGAAAGATTTCATTTAAAAAAAATTCAAGGGCGCCTGAGTGGCTCAGTCGGTTAAGCGTCTGCCTCTTGATTTCAGTTCCGGTGATGATCTCATGGCTTGTGAGTTGGAGCCCCGCGTCAGGCTCTGTGCTGACAGCATGGAGCCTGCTTAGGATTTATTCATTCATTCATTCTCATTC